TMMWAAAAAAAGCCGCTTTAATTCTTCAATAAAATGTATTTTATATGACACAAAAATATCGATATTTCTATTCAAATACCCAAATTCCATCTATGTGAAACGTTATCCTACCTCCATTAGATCATCAAAAAAATGTTTTTTCTAATTGTGTTGACTGTTGACACATTTGTTTTTCCTATTTTTGGATTTTTTAAAAATATGTTATAATTTTGTTCTGAGGCGCTCGGATTTTTGTTCAATGCTTCTACCGTATCGTATTTTTTAAATCTTTATAATTTTATCTATTTTTTCATCTATTTTACAGTTCACAAAACTCTTATTGATTATTTTTTACACATTTGGAGTGAAATAGTTTTTCCATGGCCAACTATTATCACACAAAGTATGTATTTCACTTTTTAAGTATAGTTATAAAAAAATATTTTGTTACAAATATATATTTTTTAGATCAGAAAAAAATAAGCTTTTCAAAATTGCCATAGCCGCCTATCATTTCCATTTAAAAAATACATGTTTATCTTATTACGGCTAAACTAATAACTGAAAAAAATTGTTAACTACATTATTAAATTCCTCGTAAAAAAGTGCCTGTACAATGTCTTTATTTCAAATCCGTATCTATAATAACCAAGACATAATTTTTTTAGATTTCGCCAAAATGTCAACGTTTGTCTATAAGTCGAAAACAAAAGACGATAGCGGGATGCGGTTTTAATCAATATTATTTTCTCAAAAAATGAGCCCCAGAATGTATCACTCGTTTTTGGCTAAACCTCTTAGTTTCGGAGATTCCCTATTCGGATATCCAAAATGCAGCACCCTGTACATTGCAAAACGTCTTCGACACCTTCGGAATTCATTTTTACGAATAAAATAATGACGTTTCAAAAATTAATTTATTTCATGGCCACCTATAGCCACCGCGCAATGTTGCCAACTGCCGCAAAATTCCCTACATTCCAAAATTTTAATTTTTTTTGTTAAAAAAAAGTGCAAAGTAGAAAAAATACTGTATGATATCTCGCTTATAAGACATTTTGTCGCACTATACTATTTTTAAATTGTGTGCTTGTAGACTGTATAGTAACGAATTAGATAACACGTCTGACTTTCACGCCATCTACCGTCAAGAACCGAACAAATTAACCGACGAGGAACTCTTAAAACTTTTAACCGAGTATCGGAAACCCGACAAGTTTAGCAAATTCACTGTGATTCCAGGTTCCTTACAAATTAAAATTGCTGCCATGAACGAGTTACCATCGAGTAAGACAACTTTTTCTTGTGTTAAAAAAATTTATAAAAATTTTACAGATTGTTTAACAACTGCTTTGGTCCCTTTAAAACCGTTTCCTGTTCCTCCTAGTACCGAGCCCACGATTGAAATATCCGAATTTGAAGCAAGTTGTGAGAAAGACGTCCACCCCTATACCACTTTCGTCAATCACATCTATGTCTACCCTCTTAGTTTGAATTTTGACACCCAGAAGATGTTTGCTCGGGCTCGAAACATCGCCTGTATGGTGGAATTGCGCGACTCTGATAACGAAGAAGCAAGGGGGCTTCCTTGCATTTACGGACGTCCAGGGCAAAGTCTTTTAGTGTCTCAAGCGTCGTGTGCTGTTCTCCATCACAATACCATGCCCACGTGGTACGAAGAAGTGAAAATAAAGCTTCCGATCAATTTGTTGTCGACGCATCATTTGTTGTTTATTTTTTACCACATTTCTTGTGATATTACGAAGAAGAGGGAGAATGGGATTGAGAATTGTGTGGGGTATGCGTGGTTGCCGTTGTTACACAGGGGGAAGCTGAACGTGGAGGTGCAGACAGTGCCAGTGGCGGCGCATCTACCCCCGGGGTATTTGGCGGTGCATCCCTTCGGATTAGGAAAAGGGGTTTGTCGCATTTAACAATTGAAATTCACACTAACCGTTTTTTTTTTAGAATGCTGGGCCTGAAATAGTCTGGATAGATGGCCAAAAACCGATTTTCACCGTCGGTTTTAACCTCTACTCCACCGTCAATACGAAAGACCAACACTTATTTAATTTGTTCACTCATGCTGAACGACTTCTCGACCCTAAACCTTCCGCGTTACCTTCAGAAGTAGAAACCTGTAAAATTCTTAAAGCGTTGCATGCCATACAACTCACTACACTAATAACATTCCTGCCAACTCTTCTTAATCATCTTTTTACGCTTTTGGTGGCGACGAATAGCGAAGAGATCGGTTTAAACATCATCAGAGTTCTTATTAATTTAGTTAATATGGTGTACGAGGCCGGTCGTAGAGAAATACTTCAAGCTTATGTCAAGTATGTTTTTGTTACGCCGGTGAGTAAAAGGAGTGTAACAGTACACGAAGAAATGTGCAAACATTTACCAGTGATTTTACACCCGAATAATACCGATTTTCTGGTCGTGAATAAATTCATGCATCATGGGGATTTCTTCTTTGATGTTATTATCAAAGCAATGGCTCAGCATTTACTACTTTCGGGTCGGATTAAGGTTAGTTTGAGACGAATTTAGGTTTGTAGCCCAGTCAAATTAGACAAATCGGTGGAAAAAAATCCTAGAGAGTTGGATTTTTTTTTTAAACGCTTTCTTTATACTTGGGTAGACATATATCAAAAGTCCCCGAAGGTGGGGGGCGAGCTCGAGGAGGGGAAGGGGGTTAAAGGTGTCTTTTTTTGGTTTCTTGCTTATACAGGCTGTATTATGAAAAACGCCCCAAGCCATAACTCCATTATTTTTAAAGTTATGACAATACTTCGTAGAACAAAGTTGAACATTTTTTGTCATCTATCGTTTAGGATAGATGCTAAATTAATGCTGTTTTCTGTTTCACCGGAAATCACATAAACTTTATTTTTTTAAATGGAACACCTTGTATATTTTACCACTTTTGAATTCTTTGTTTAATTGTCTTTTAACAAGTTTTAGTAACATATGCCTAAAACTAACCGTTCGTGAGATATTCACCAAATAATGTATTTATTAAAGTAGGCAGTGGAAAACAATAATATCAAGTAATGTTGACGAATATTATTCCTTTGCATTTTCTCTTACTGTTTTTATACTTTTTAATGTTAATCATGGATGAAAATGTGTTAACAGACATATTTTGAATAAGATAAAAATTGTGGGAGAGCACTACGCTTTTACACTGGGTGATTTCTGATGAGAGACGTTCCAAATCGTCGAAAATTTAAGCGACTTAAAGAAAATTTGAGGATGTTTTGGGCTTTTAGAAAACCCAAATTAAAACATCTCCAATTTCTAAGAGATACAGAATTAGATAGGTATTGAAGGAAATGCAAGAACATGAATACAAGAAATTGCAAGTAACGTTGGCTTATCGCACGCAACTGTTCTAATTTGGGTTTTCTAAAAACCCCAAACATCCTCAAATTTTCTTCAGGTCGACGAATTGGAACTTCTCTTATTGGAAACCGCCCAGTGTTAAAGGCGTTGTGGTCTTCAACTATTTTTATTGCTTTCAAAATATTCTTGAATCATGTCTGTTAACACATTATCACCAGAACACCAAAAAGTATAAAAATAATAAGAGAAAATGCAAAGTAATAATATTTGTCAACATTCCTTAATATTATTGTTTTCCACTGCCTACTTTAATAAATTTTTAATTGACTCATATCTCACGAACGGTTGGTTTTAGGCACATGGTACTAAAACTTGTTAAAAGACAATTAAACAAAGAATCCAAAAGTGGTAAAATATACAGGGTGTTCCATTAAACAAAAATAAAGTTGATGTCATTTCCGGTGAAACAGAAAACAGCATTAATTTAGCATCTATCTCTATCGCTCTATCTATCTATCAAACGATAGATGACAAAAAATGTTCAACTTTGTTCTAAGAAGTATTGTCATAACTTTAAAAATAATGGAGTTATGGCTTGGGGCGTTTTTCTTAATACAGCCTGTATCTCGGAAATTATCACTCCTATAGGTTTTTATCTTCTTATCAAAATTAAAGCTTACAAAATTTCCTACAAAAATGGTCCTTCGCATTTTTGTTGTAGGACTAATCGTAAGCAAGTTATAAGGCAGACAAAAAACATCATTTAAAAAAATGTGCTTTATTTGCATTTAAAACAGAATTAGTCTTGTAATTTAAAAAAAAAAACTGATAGTAAATTGAATTTACTGGGTCCAATACTTCATTAAAGGAGAGGGGAGTCACAAGAGTATGAATACAAACTCATCGTTTATGTAATTTATGCAGAATTTTCTGTAGAAGTCTATTTCTGCATCAAAATTTCCTACAAAAATGGTCCTATTTATTTTTGTTGTAGGACTAACCGTAGGCTTCGAAAGTTTGGTGTCTACATAAAATTGCATTAAAAATCCTTTGAAACACATTTCATTAGTATATGGTAAGTTTTTATATGTATAGAGCGTTCCCCAACTAAGCTGGTCTGCCTGAAAGGTGACTCGGGTGTAAACATTTAAACGGAGATATAAATAAAAATTTTGGATGAAAGAGAGAATCAATCTGTAAGGGGGTTAAATGGGGTGTAAATGTTTAAACAAAGATATAAACATAAAATTCTTTAGAGGTGTAAAGGGGCACTAAAATTAGATTCTTCGAAAATTAGTTTTTAAGGGAATAAAACGGTGTACACATTTAAAGGAATATAAAAACATTAAATTTAGAAAATTTGATTCTTAGAGAGTGTAGAAGTGCACTTTTCCAATTTTAATGAAATAAAATAGAGTTTAAACGCTTAAAAACAAAATTAGAAACATGAAATTTCGAATTTTGAGAGTGCAGAAGTGTACTGAGACGACACTTTATGAAAATCAACATGTAATATTTATCCATAAACATAGCCCATGCGAAGAACGAGACTACTATAACTGAATCCTATACATAACATAGGTAATTACCTAGCTTTAGAGAGTACCTAAGCCTATAGAATGGTTTTGTGAACGGGCTTTTTCCCATTTTATATCAGAAAAACACGCGGACAAAATCGCAGCCAAATGCTAGTTCAGCATATAAGGATGACTTAATAGACCCTCGTGCCACCCTCTAATAAACTGTTGGATCCAATACATTCAATTTACTGTAGGCTTTATTCAAATCATCGATATTAACTTATCTATTTATTAATATTGTACTGAACAAGACTGTAATTCGGTTTTCAATGTTTAAGTTGAAGACGAAGATGCAGAATATGAAAACTCGGAAGACTTTATAGACTCTCTAATGAAGTGTTACATTCAATAAATTCAAATTGCTTTCAGTTTTTTCAAATCACAAGATTAATTCTGTTTTAAATGCGGATAAAGCACATTTTTTAAATGATGTTTTTTGTCAGCCCTATAACTCGCTTACAGTTAGTCCTACAACAAAAATGGAAAGGACCATTTTTGTAGGAAATTTTGTAGGCTTTAATTTTGATAAGCAGGCAAAAATCGTTAGGAGTAATAGTTTCCGAGATATAAGCAAAAAAACAAAAAAAGACACCTTTAGCCCCCTCGCCCTATTTTTGTTTAATTTGACTGGGCTATTGTTGCTATTGGTTGTATTACAGATGCACCGACACGAACGCTTCTCAGCCGACTACCTTCAAAAAATCGAAACTTTGATGCAAATTCTTACTCCGTACATTTTAAACAAGTACAAAGAAATGCCAGTTGAGACTAAAGAACTGAACAAAAGTCTGGCTCATTTTCTTAAAAAATGTCTTTCACTCATGGACCGCGGCTTCGTTTTCAAACTAATTAACCTCTACATGGACAAATTTAACCCGGGGGATTCCCGAGTGTTACAAGAGTACAAATTCGCCTTTTTGGAAATCATCTGCAACCATGAACACTACATTGCCTTCAATTTACCGATTCAGCACAATAAACTCAGTCCGAAAAACCGGTCACCGGATAATCTCCAAGAGTTCACACTGTCGGAGGAGTTTTGCAAGCACCATTTCGTGGTGGCTTTGCTTCTGCAAGAGATAAAGACGTCGCTGAATGAAGTGACACATATTAGACGTATCGCCTTGAATACATTGAGGGATTTACTAGCGAAACACGAATTGGATGATAGATATCAGAATAAGGGACAGTTGAGTCGTATCGCATTGATTTATATGCCTTGGTTGGCGATCGTATTGGAGAATTTGAATAGATTAGAGGTTGGAGAGGGGAGCGATGGGCATGATGTTATCACAAATAGGATTTCATCGAGTAGTTCGTATATGTTCGGGAAGTGTTCGGCGGCGAGTGATGCGACCCCGAGGAGTCACAGGTTTACGCTGCACATTGACAAGGACAGTCCCATGCATATACGGAATTCGGCGTTTTTTGAAGCCATCGCCGGGCAAAGTAAGCCTTTTTGTCACAAACATTTATAGACACCCGGTGTTAAGTAGGGATTAAAAATCTTAGTGTGGCAACATTGACTTACAAATTCAAACGTCAAACTTTTATAGGGAACTATAAACAATAATTCAGTGTTCCAATAGATTTTTTGTCACAAACATATTAATACCGTGCGATCGAAAAAAAAAAATTAGATGGCAATCCTGATTTTTGACATCAAATGTCAGCCGAAACTTTGACAAGTTTGCGTTTTATTCATTTTGAGTGAAATAATGTTCACTTTAGAGCAGAAAATTTTTATTGTTGCAAGTTATTACAAAAATGCTGTACAAGATGAAAATTGTAAATGGTCATTTTCACTTCCAGCAAAACTTGTTGCCAACTGTAGAATATTAATCGTCGCCTACTCTAATTTACTTTTTTTTCGTTCGCACGGTACCAGGTGAATGATTGCGATTTTTATTCCTAAGTTGGCTCGAATGTAAAATCTTCAAATTTAAACGTCAAACTTTTCAATTGTCATTAATTTGTGACGGGCGTCTGCTGGTTTAGCTAAGTACCCCGGATATAATAAAAAATTAGGATTGCCAGCTCAAAAAAATAAAACTCACCAAATCTGAGTTGAAAATTGTTACGAAATTTACACCAGTTTTCACCATATTACAATATTACGATTTAAATGTCTCCAATAATGTCGAAAGTTTAGTTTTTTTACATAAACTGAGTAGTTAAAGCCTAAGAATTAGATGAAAACACATTATATTTTTTTTGGTAACAGTTCAGTGATTTTTGACTCGGTATGCCATAATCTCGTGAAAAAATGGAGTTTTTAGCTTAAAAGTCTGCTTATTCTTGAAAAGGGCAAAAAAATTACATTATTTTCAGCCTAATTCTGTGGTTTTTCGGCTGTTTTTAACAAAATTTTGCTAGGTAAATGCATTTATAGCTGAAAAAATGCTTGAGAAATGCAGAAATAATATAATGTTTGACTTAATTTGTTGATTTGTTGGTTTGTTTCAGCAAAAAACCTGTAATTTTAGATTTACAAGTATTTTCGATCAAATTTCTGGTTTCTCGGCTTATTTTTGTCTTAATTTTGCTTAAAAAAGTTAAATGAAACAAACAAAACAATATCAATATCAATTCTTTTTGAGTTTTAGGCATGTTTGGAGAAGATTTTTCAAAATTAATGAGCCTCTGTTAAAAAATACTATCAATTTCGATTGAAAATTTTAGGAAATCTTGAGTTTTTATCTCAAAAACATGCTTAAACACTTGAAAAAGCCAAAATCGACAACCTAATCAAATCTCGTAACTCAACTTTTGGTCAAATATGAGATTTTGGTGTCATCTGTTAAAAAAAACTGTACACGATAATAAAAACCAGGTAACTTTACATAATGTTATTTTAATAATATTACCAAAATAAAAACCTCTTAGGTCTATAACGCAATAGAATACTTTGTAACGTTATTCATTTCACCGAAATGAAACTCGTTATTCCTTCTTGTTTTCCCCATAAACTTACCTAAAAACCTATTTTATTACAATCTAATATGGTGAACAAGTGTTTTAAGTTAATCTATACATCTGAATATTTTCATATTTATTTACCTTTACTTCCAGAAAAATAAAATAAAATTGTAGAATTAACAAAAAAAAAACAAATAAATTGACTGAGGCTCATAGTCATTATTTGGATAAGTAACCACGGATATTTCTAACAATTGTGTCTTGATTGATTTTTTTAGAGTGTTTTTTTGTGTTTTCTATAAACTTTGTAATTTTGAACTTTGGAGGTTTGATAATTAAGGTGACGAAATAACACCGTTTTTGGCCTATTTACTTGAATTTTTGGTTTGTTTTTAACGTGATTTTTCAAAATAATTTTATTTTGAGCTGAAAAATAATTCTACTAAAGCATTCGAAAAAGGCAAAAGTAAATTGTGATATGTATTGTATTTTGTTTTTTAATTTGGTGTTTTTTTTTTTGAAAAAATCGCAAAATAGAGTTTTTTGTCGAAAAACATTGAAAATTGTCTAAAAAGATGCAAAAATGGTGTCATTTATTTTTGACCTAATTTACCATCGAGAGATCAAGATAATTTGTAATCGAGTTATCTTTGGATCCGAAAACGTATGTCTGTGAAACGTCAAATAAAATGACAAGTGGAAAGGTAAAATGGCATGACCAAAAAGATGATGATTTGATAATTAAATTTATGATTTACTTTAAAATAATGTCGGCGACTAATTCCAACCTATTTTGACGTTTTATCTTTTGACTTCTCATTTTATTTGACGTTTCAGTTTAAAAACAGACATACGTTTTCGCATCCAAAGATGACTCGATTACAAATTACCTTGATCTCTTGATATATCAGTAATTAAAAAATTGGTGTATTAAGTTTTTGTTGTAATTGCAGAGTTATAACAGTTTTTTTAATTAATTAATTTCCAAAAAATCATCGGCTATTAGAATTTTTACAAAAGTTTTAAGTAAATCACCAAACTTGCATGAAAGATCACCATTTTTTGTTTATTGTTTTATGTCCATTTTGTAGCTCTTTTTTTTGATAATTAAGGTGACGAAATAACACCGTTTTTGGCCTATTTACTTGAATTTTTGCTTTGTTTTTAACGTGATTTTGCAAAGCATTCGAAAAAGGCAAAAGTAAATTGTGATATGTATTGTATTTTGTTTTTTAATTTGGTGTAATTTATTTTTTTTTAAATCGCGAAATAGAGTTTTTTGTCCAAAAACGTTGAAAATTGTCTAAAAAGTTGCAAAAATAGTGACATTTATTTTTGACCTAATTTACTATCGAGAGATCAAGATAATTTGTAATCGAGTCATCTTTGGATCCGAAAACGTATGTCTGAAACGTCAAATAAAATGACAAGTGGAAAGGCAAAATGGCATGACCTAAAAGATGATGACTTTAATAATTAAATTTATGATTTACTTTAAAATAAAGACGGTCCTATCTATGACTATACGTCAGGACGTTTCACGTGCAACAGATCCAAAGATGACTCGATTATAAATTATTTTGATCTCTTGATATATCAGTAATTAAAAAATTGGTGTATTAAGTTTTTGTTGTAATTGCAGAGTTATAACAGTTTTTTTAAATTCCAAAAAATCATCGGATATTAGAATTTTTACTAAAGTTTTAACTAAATCACCAAAAATCACAATTTTTTGTTTTATATTTTGTAGCTCTAGTCAACGGTAACTCTCTAAGCATCGACTCTGACATTTCCGCCATCTCCGGGGACGCGCAATCGACCGCATCCCAAGACACAACCATCGTCCGCGAGGACATCCTCCGCAACGGCGATTCAAAACCCTCCCACACACGCACCACCTCCCATGTGCAACGCTACGACAAACTTCAACTATCGGAAGTGAAAGACGTCCTCTTGATCTTCCTCTTCGTCGTCAAATACATCAGCGAGGAGCAGTTGATCACGTGGTGGCAGCAATACAGCGACGGCGACGTGACCAACTTTTTTACAATTCTCGAAATGTGTCTGCACTGTTTCAAGTATGTGGGGGAGCGCAATGTGACAGTGGTCAAATCGCAGATTGTTGATAATGTTAAGAGCAATTCGAAGAAGGCTCACACGTTGCCAGCGCGAATGAATCCGGCCGAGATCAATCACGAGAATACCAGCACTTTGGTGATCCACATGGCGAATAGAGAGAATTTGGTGAGTGGTGAGAACGAAGTGCAGAAGAAACAGCAAGCTGTGCTAGAGCAGCATCTAGCGACTGAAGTGGGAATGATCACTTTGGATGCGATGGGGCTGTATTGTATGAATTTCCGGAAGAATTTGCTAGTTGGGGATGGGGATAATGATGTGATGAGGCAAATTTTCGAAATTTATTTGGGTTTTATGCAAATTGGGCAAAGTGAAGCGTTGTTCAAGCATGTGTTTGCGGCGTTGAGGGCGTTTATCAACAACTACTCGGCGGTGCTGTTTCAAGGTAAGAAACACTTTTTTTTTCATCATAGACAGAATTCGCGCCACGAAAAAATTACAAACTAAGACAAGATACCAAAAACATGGAAAAAATGTCCGAAAAATTCAATCTGTCAAAAAATTTTGACATTTAGTTTTTGACATTTGACATTTTTTATGTCTATTTAATGATACTGATGATCTTGAATATGTTTTTTTTTATAATTATTTAGTAAACGTACAAAAATTTTGACAATGAAGGGGTGACAATTTTTGTTATCTATTACTAAACCGAGATAGCTTGAACGCTCTTACACCCGTATAAAACGTTAATTTAACCATCTTTGTCACGCGATAGCAATTGTTTATACCTGGAGATTGTTTATACCTGACTTGTCAGGTAACAAATTTTGCGTTGTTGCTTCGAATTTCGGGCGGAATGCAAACTAAATTCTGTTTCTCATATTTTATTTATTATTATTATGTTGTAACACTAATAACTAATATTTTGTGAATTTTATTTTTAATGACTCAAAAAAACAGGTGGGCGCCGAGTGTTACCAACCGATACCAACTAACACAAAATTCTCTAGGCAACAAAAAATTTATTTTTGTAATTAAAATAAGAAAAAAGGGGACGCAAATTAGAAAAAATAGCATAAAATACTCGTTTTATAATGGCATTGGCGCACTCATCCCATAGAAAACTCGTGCGCCAAATCAACCCTTATAAAACTTGTTCTTTAATATACTATTATGCAAAATTATTACAATATAGTATTCATTTTGTTTAAATACTGTATTTTAATTTTGTCATTAGTTAATTTAAAAGCAAACCAAAAACAAAAAATATCAGAATAAGATAATTTGCGAAGTCAGAACAATTTGATGACAAAACTGATTTGAAGAAAATTAAAAAAAAGACAAAGCGACGCTAAAAACTTTTAAGATAGAATTTACAAAAAATAAGAAAGAAAGAAATAAAGTTGAAAAATTATAAACAAGGATGTTAAAAACGAGTAAAAAGAAAGCACAATATAAGAAAGAATAAAAATATGGTAAAATGAATATTGGACTTAAAATTAGAAGAATGTAGGACAGAAATATTGGAGAAAGAATAAAATTATGAAAAAGTATCAAAAATGGATAAAAGTAGACAAAAAAATCGAAAAAAACAGAAAACTTAAAAGTAATTTAATATAACTAAACAGGAAGACTGAATGAAACAAGAAAATAGTAAACAGTGTGAAATATAATGTGAAAATATAAGGATACATTAATTGAATTGCATTTTTGTCTTGGAGTTAATTTCGGTGGCAAACAAGTCGGAAAAATAATTGTTTCTTGAGCATTTTATGTCTATTTAATGATATTGACGATTTCCTCTACTAATAGCCTGTAGCAAAAATAATGGAAAATTATTTTTCCAACAGAAATAAATTTTTTTCCACGTTCCTGGTATCTTAACTTATATGGCATTTTTCTGTGGGGCGCGAGTTTTGGCTCACCCTGTAGGTATAATTAGTAATTTTCTTTTTGCAGGCAATGCTTTTCTTTGTGGCCGTTTGTGTTACGAACTCCTCAAGTGTTGCAATAGTCGTTTATCGTCAGTTCGTCAGGAATCTTGTGCATTATTGTACCTTTTAATGCGAAGTAATTTTGAATTTACCAATCGGAAGGGTTTAACACGTGTTCATCTCCAAGTTATAATATCAGTCTCTCAAATGCTGGGTTGTATCGTAGGATTGAATAATGCCCGGTTTCAAGAGAGTTTATCCATGATTAACAGCTACGCGTCTAGTGATAAGGCCATGAAAGGGACAGGTAATAAAAAACTTTTGTTTGCTAAAGTTGCCATTCTTGAGTGTATTTTAACGACCAATTCATAATTTCAGTTCTTATTAAAATATATACAGGGTTATTCATAAATATGAAGCAATATTTGATCCTCAAAAATGAGCTATAATATAAAATGATGTTAATTTAAATAATTAACATCATTAAAATTCTTATCAATAGAGATCGGACAGGAGTTATTATTTAAATTATTAAATTATTTATTTTATAGGTCATTTTTGAGGTTCAAATATTGCTTCATATTTATGAATAACCCTATATGTACAGGGTGCTGCATTTTGGATGTCCGAATAGGGAATCTCCGAAACTAAGAGGTTTAGCCAAAAACGAGTAATACATTCTGGGGCTCATTTTTTGAAAAAATAATATTGGTTAAGACCGCACACCGCTATCGTCTTTTGTTTTCGACTTATAGACAAAAATTGACATTTTAGCGAAATCTAAAAAAATTCATATCTTCGTTATTATAAAAGACACAGATTTGAAATAAAGACATTATATAGGCACTTTTTTACGTAGAATTTAATAATGTAGTTAACAATTTTTTTCAGTTGTTTGTTTGGCCGTCATAAAATAAACTTGTATTTTTTTAAATGGGAATGGCTATGTCATTTTTAAAAAGCTTGTTTTTTTCTTATCTAAAAAATATATTTTCATAACAAATTTTTATAAAACATTTTTAGCAAAAAATTATCTTTGATATTTGTTCGCAGTTGGCCATGAAAAAATGTTGCATCTTCAACTAAAAGGATTTAAACTATATTATATTCAACCAGTGTCACTAATGAAAGAGTTTTCTAAGTACTAAGTGATGAAAAAGATGCAAAATAAATTGTAAATCAACTTATTGMCGACTAATAACATTTCTTTGTTTTTAAACAAGKTAACATTACCATTGCAACTT